TCGGACTCCAAGTTCCCAGTCGAAGTCGAAGTAGGAGTCGAGTCGTATTCCCCCTTCCAGATATTAGATATCCCCGATGCGATAAACGTCCAGCGATCGAGACTCTCCGCTTTATTGATTTAAATGCCGCGCATCTTCTGTGATTCGAGGATCGCACAGCAAGTCGCCGATTGAGATTAAGCCGTTTGTCAACTTGTCATAATTGCCGGGACTTCAGACTACGGCGCCGAGCTCTTTGGGGCTTGTTAACAAATTATAAAAACTTTTTCAGTCGCTCCACTACGAAACGCCAACGTTGTGGCAAACTGACTGCAAACGATGACTCAAGGCGATTCTTTGAAAATTTTTCATAATTTCCTCGCCGCGCGTAGGCTGCTAAAAACTTTAACGTTAACTCATACCCCAAACCCAAAACGAAAACCCAAATGGCGATTGCTGGCGGCAATGTCTGCCACAGCAGCAGCAGCAGCAACCAGCAACTTGCAACTTGCAGCAGCAACATCATCAAGTGCAAATATGCAAATCTCTGCCGACGACTTGCTTAAGGATAAATGACAAAGACAAAGACAAACCTCTTTTCGGGCCAGCCGGAAATTTCAGATTTGTGTAATTAAATACGTATTAGCCGAGCGAAACTTGTTGATCTTCCCAGTTAACTCATTTTGCCTAACTGTAAACGGCTTTTCCTGCAGATTAAGGATGGTTTTCGCAGGGGAAAGTCTATATGTACAAAGTTGCACTAATTAAAAGACAATGCTGACATTTATTGCGTTTTTGTGTGAGGCTTTCCTGTAAACACATAGCGCTCATTTCTTTTTAAATTAACCAACTGCGAAATACGAATATTCCCAGAAAACAATTTTATTCGCTGGCAAAAATGTTTTAGATAGAAAATAAATATTTGGTACGAAATCTTGAGAATCACTTCATTCAAGGAATTCATTCAGAAGATTATTTCTTGCTATATCTTGCTATAAATTAACTTGCTCTTATTTGAACGAAAGATATTTCTCTAAGCTAAATTAAGTAGAAAAAAAGAACTCTTTAAAATAAAATAATATTTTATAATTTAAAGACTGTGTAAATCAAAGCGCATAAACCAAATATGAAAGTTAGACTACATAATATTTTTTTAAACTAGAAGCAGTTCTAAGCCTTTCAATCTTACTGTATCTTTGCCAATAATTATCCCAAGGATAGGTCGCCATCGAGCCATTTCTCCTTTCTGCTTTTCCCATAACTTGTGAATCAAATTTCCATGTTGATTGACCCCTCCAGAATTGCATATCCTCCTCCGGTCACACCCCCCTGCCCCCTCCCGCAGCTCCTTTCTCGCCTTTCTCTCCGCGATTCCCCAACTCCTTCACACATAGCATTTCCAATGCAATTTGCGAACCTTTTTCTCACCAAGCTCAGATTTGCTCCAAGCTAACCACCACGAACGAATATAAACGGGGCAGGAAAAAAAAAAGAACTTTTCGGAAAATCCAGTAACGCCTTCTCAAAAAAACGAAATAACCATTTTCCAGGCACTGCATTGCATTGCATGCAAAAATGTGGCCAGCAGCGACCGGCAACAGTAACAACGGCTTTAAACGCCAACTGGCATAACTGCAACATTTCGGATGCAAGTTTGCATTTTACGCGGCTGCCAGGCTTAATTTTCCTTTATTTTTAATATCACAGCCAAAGCAACGGCCACAAAATGTACATAAAACCCACGGCTATATCAAGTACGGCCCGGCCACATAGATACACATAGACTGGCTGTCAAGCTGGGTCTCTCGGATCTCCAGGAAGCAAGAAATAACAAAAATCTTTGCGTAGGCAAAACTTGGCTCCGACTACCCAGCTGACCATGTCCAAGTCGCCTTTCAGCCGCCTGCCTTTCCCATTACTGGGTTCTGGCCCGGCCAGCAAGACTGTTGTTTTAAATAATTAATTATTGTTTAGTTGGCAAATAGCCGACTCGAGATCGAATGGCTGCGGCTAGGAGAACTAAAGCCATGGGTAGTTGCAATTAGTAGTAAAACGCTATTCGTCCGGAAAGTGGGGATATATTTGCTGGAGAATCAGAGGCTAAATGGGGCCTTTTGGGGGATTAAAGGAGTGCTCCCAAGATGTTCAACTTATGAAAAATCATTTAACGTAAATATGCAGATCACTGTATTCACTTATAATTATTTCTAATGTTTTTACCTCACACTTCTGGGAAATATATGATTACTCGCTGGGTATTTTAATAATCTTCTAGAGCATTTTTATACTTCAACAAAAGTATCTTCTGCAATATTGCTGATTCGGAAAAATATTTTTCAAAAATATTTTACTTTGGGTAAATATTAGTAGTAATTCCCAGTCATTTTTATACTGTGAGAAAAATGGAACAAATTAGATCTAAATATGAGGCAAGTAATTTCCAGTAAATGTTTATGTAACGCTTATTTAAATAAGTTTTTAATTATGTACATGCATAAATAAAGAATATAATTTGAATAAGTGGTGATTTAGTACATAATTTTCTTAGTTGAATTTTATTATGGCATAAACACATAATTAGCAAGTACATGTACATAAAATAGATTATGACTTTATAAAAAAGAATTACAGTTTAGTTGGTTGAGTAAAAGAAAAACTAAGAATGAATGCGATGACTTGTCATAGAATAGGAACTTTTCTTCAAGCAAAACTCCTTCGTGGTTAATTTACAATCTAACTACTGTGTTAAACCTTGTTCAATTTTCTTTAATTTCTAGCCTCAAATAAAAATTAACATATTTGTTAGGGCTGTTAATAGGTACTCTCCAATATCTCATAGAAATACGTCTATAGACTTGCAACCTTTCGCTAGTCGACTGGCAACACCTCCACCCACAACCAGCCGACTTTCAATCACATTCCTGCCCCAAACTGTGTGCCAAACATATTGGGGCAGGCTTCGGCTGTGGATAGCCGAGAGACCCCTTCATTATCTAGCCTGCAGCTGGGAGCAAATGGGAGATCTCGTTGAGTGGCGGCGATTGGTAGGGCAATCATGTGATTGAACAAATAACATGCTACGGAGCTGCCACAGCACTTGACTCCATTTCCATCGCCCGGGAAAGGAAAGTAAGCCGTAGACCGCTACTTAGCCCAATTTTCGCATAATGCACATGAGAAAATTGCACAAGACCCGAAAGGCAGCCCGGGCACACAAAAAATGCCAACAGAAATTGGCATTTCCAAGACAAAGGATTGAGTCTGCCACCCCCGAAGTCACAAGAGAAAAAGTGCACCGAGTCCAGTAAGCTGGAAAAACGCTCCCCAGAGTGGCATTACCCACTGTCAACCCTGCAACTTTGTGTCGAGGGCGATAATTTTTATGACCCCGACAGATTCTCAAGCCGACTGCGATTGACCCACCACCCAAAAAGCTGATGGCTTGGCTAACTGGTCACACACCACCAGCAAAGTAAGGAACACAAATCCTGTCGTGTGCCAGTGCAGATAATTTTATACAATTTATTATATCAAACGAGCGGCGTCGCGTGCAACACTTGCCACGTCACATGGGTTGGGATGGGAAGAGTCGAGATACAGATACTATATAGTATAGTATGCTGCAGCCTCAGGTTGCGTGTTCGAGTGCTTAACTGAAATCCGAAATCCGAATTCAAAAATCCGAGTTGCGTGTGTCCACGTTCGATATCGTTGGATTGGCATTAAAAAGCGTTTAATAAGCATTAGATTACAACATTCTCGGCACATTGCGAAAAGGGGTGTGACGGCCTAAGCTCATTTAGATATATGTTTTATCGCCGGATTTGCCGAGCCATGAAATCGCCAAAGGGCTTAATTCAAAGGCATTGCTTAACCTCAAAAGCATTTTGCTTTAGTTTTCGTTTGAACTCCCCATCTCTCAACCACAAAAGCCACAAACTCGATTCTTTGTTTGATTTTCTTGTAATCAGTTGTAAGATTGCTGCGGCGGGGAAAACTATACTCAGTTGATTAGTGTTTTCGGTGGAGAGCGTACTGCAAACTCATTAGTCATTTATCTAAAGTTCGGTTTCTGGTGAGTGATCTTTCCCGTGATCCTCCCTTAGGGGTTTACATTTTTTGTTACCCTCATCCATATTTTTTCCATACATGCATTTTGTTCACTTTGGTTTTTGATGCGTAATTCGATCTGTGTATTCTTTGAAAATTGTACTTAGTTTTCCCAAATGTGATCCCTAAGTGGGTTCATTGGGGTAACGTTAGTTTTTTGTGTTTTTCGTTAATGGCATGATAAAAGAAACTGATTTTGGTCAGAGAGATTAGGGAAAGAAAATGTGGTTTGCAATGGTGGGTTCTAAAATGATAAAATGATTCAAAGGAGCGACTGATTCAAAGCTATTTGCTTTCTTTACCTTAGTTTTACTTTTATAACCATTCATTTGAAATAAAATTCTTCCGATTTCAAAAACTCAATTCTAAAAAAGAACTCATCTAAGACGATCCCCAACCTAATAGAACTTCTTAACCTTTGTTAACCTGCAAAGAACTGCTGAAGTTCCAAGTTCTTATGCTAACGATTTCGAGTCGCAAACATTCAGATACATCCACTCAAAAATATACCCACAATGTGCATCTCTAATGAGAATTCGAGAGAGAGGCATGAATAATGGGTCTGTGATGTCGCGTTGTCTATAAAGCGGCCTTACAATCCATTAGCGAACGTTGCAGGCATAAATAAACCGCAGTGCCTTAATTTCACTTTGTTGTTTGTGTTGCAACCAAAAATAGCCAAAAAGATGGAGTCGACGAAAAAACGTAAATGGAAACAAATGACGCTAATAAATAAATGGGGAGTGCAGGCGAAATGAATGGGGGGAAAAGTCATATGCGGCCACAAAGGATTTTGCTATGAAAATCCGGGAGGAAATAGTTTGTCATATTGCCCTTCAAATTGTATCTTCTATGTTGTATCTGCAACTGCAACTGCGGATGCATCTGCATCTGCATCTGTCGACACTTACCCTTGAGCGCTCCAACTTGAGTTAATCCATTTAATCCCGTGAGGAGCAGCAGCAGTGGGAATATCTCCCGTCGACTCCGACTGCGATCGACTTTGATTATTTTTAGCCGGTCCCCAACAGCATTTCGATTGTTTCTGTGTCGGCGTTTGATCTCTGGTTTTTCGTTTTCGTTTTCATTTTTGTTTTTATTTTTATTTTTTATTTTAATCTCGCTTTCGTTAGCTAAACGCTGGGGCTGCACACGCACCTCGCACAACTGCATTTTGTCAAGTATTCTTCTGCGCTTCCTTTAATTACACACCATTTAAAATAGATTTGCACTCATTTCTCGATATTCTGCTGGCACACACAATTTATTCACTAGAATCTGAGTCCGTGGCGCCACAAAGTCCGTTGGCCGGAACGATTCGCGGAACCCGACGGATCGAACGGATATATACTCTCCCCCAAACACATGCGAACCGGCGGACACTCGAATTGGTACTGGCGCTGCTATACGCTACGAAAATCGACTGATGTGAAAGAAATTTCTTTTGAAAACTGGGTGGTTTTGGACCTGGTTAACATGAGCGGGGATTGTGAGTGGAAGTTGTACAGTGCGCTCGCACAGTGAGTTCATTTTGTATGGCGCTTAACAGAGTGCTCAAGAACAGTGAGTGGATTTTGTATGGCGGTTAACAGAGTGCGCCAGAACTAGAGTGCAAAGTTAACAGTGCGTAGGAACTGGAGTGCATTTTGTATGGCGGTTAACAGTGTGCGAGAACAGCGAGTGTCTTTTGTATGGAAAGTTAACATTCGAGTGTTTTAAGTTCGTTTCTCGTTTCGTTTCGAGTTCGTTTGTATTCGGCAAACCACTTCGGTTCTTACTTCGTTTATGACTTCGTGAGAGTTCCATTTCCCACTTTGTATCGCTTGTTGCATGCTGTGGAACGCATTGGACCTTTGTTTACTCGATGGACTGCAGCCTCGGTTTGTTTTGTTCCGTTTGCAAACGTTCCACGTGCCCTAGGTTCATCTTGTTGGAAACATATTGCACTCAATGGAATCGCACCGAGTGTTGATGACTCATGTTGATAAGGCCAAGGGATCCATTTGCGTTTTATGGTTTTTAAAGACTATATTTTCACTTTTATTTGAAGAATATTTGAAGTTAAGGAACATATTACATATACATATTGCCAAATACTGACAATCCTAACAATTCCTTTTATCTTCATATATAAAATATTGTATTCATTTAGTGTATTTACTATCCATCACAAGCATTTGTTATAAAACCTTGTCAACTGAATAAATAATTCATAAATTTCAGATTTTATTATTCGACCATACGCGGGGGTGGCATGTGTGTTGTATATCACTCAGCGAATGAGAATGTCGTATGATAAATATTTAAGCAAATACAATTATAACAATGAAATTGCTTATAAATTATTTTTGCTTCATACGACATACATATTTATCAAGTTGATAAGAAAGAAAACAATCATTGTTGATGTTTGCGAAAGGAAATGAATTTATTAAAAAGTATTTGCATTTCAATATTGACAAGGCTAGTTTAAGGCCATTAAAAAGAAATATTTTGCGGAATAAAAAACTCCAATCCAATTACCAAATTTAATTTTCTTGTGTATTAACAATGTTGCGAACCAACAAAGTGCATTCATTTCAGAAAAAAGCCCATAAATATTCAGCTTTGTTTAGAAATACAACAAATCGACATTCAAATGGACTTTAACACGATGCCACATCAATTTCTCCGTTCGAAGTGTTTATCCACCAACTCTTTTTCAATCTTTTCTGACCATTTAAACTCTTTTTCAGGTTGTCAAGCCAACAAATTGCCAACCTTTGTGCTGCTTAGCTTCGATAGTTTCCATTCGAGATCCGAAAACATTTTGAGCTTGGATAATCCCTACTTGTTGCATTTGATTGCCCCCTTGACTCCATTGTTCCGCCTGCGCCCCCCTCCCCCGCTTAACCCCCAGTGTCCCCTTAACCCTCCACTGCCGGCGACAGTCGAAAAACGCCTCAAAGGGGCGACCATTTGCTATCTAATCTGCTCGAGTGCCGCACTCACTCTCCAGCTGTTAGCTCATCTATTTCCAAACTGCAATAAAGCCAGACACACAGTTCTAGGCGATCCGTTGCACAATGCGATGAATGGAAATCCAAATCAAAGTGGAGACCCCGTTCTTGGACACTTTGCCACATATCACAGAACACCGGCCCGCTAATGAATTTCGAAATCAACCCAGACGATATTGTATTAATTTATCAAAGTGCATATCCGAAAGGGCTTTCCTCTATAAATCGCTGCCTAATTTCCCAACGTTTGTTAAATAATCAATAACTTTTTTTTCTCCTCCTCCTAAGCAGAGTTTGATTCGAGTGTGAAGTCGGTTCATTAATGCCGGTGCTCAGAAAAGATACAGATACATTTGGCCAAGGAGAGAAGTGTAAAATAAAGGTGTGTATCTTTTCCATAAAGGAATTGTGCGTGCATTTAGGAGCGGGCAGGTGTGGATTCCCCATCTGAGAATGCAACTCACACAATGTGCATTGTCTTTGCCAAGAAAGAAAGGTCAAAGTGCGTTTGTCGCTGTGTTCGCTGCCTTCTCAAGTCCCCCGATCCCCGATTCTCGATTCCCGCTTGCCTTTTATAGAGTAGAAGAATGCAGGTAGAGGCAAGCGAGAATTTGTGGCAGGTAAACCATATTTCAAATGCTGATAATTGGCCAATTTACAGCCAGGGCGAGTTGCTCTGCTTGAAAGGCGAGATATCCGAGCCCGGTTGCCACGCTTCATTAGCACTCAAGTGAAGTTCGGCAACGGGGCAGGGATCATATGTCGTATAAAAAGATACGAGAGAGGAATATACAAAATAATATAGAACGAGAATTGAAATACATATGTTAGGGAAATAGAAATATTTTGGTTTGAGCAAGTACCCACTTATTTACTTTGCCTATTTGGATAACTGCCTTAATTTCCTTTTGAATTGTAAATACAAACTCTCTTCACTAGAAAGTACTAACAAACTTGACCATTGTTATTTATTTATACTTTTAATGTATTCTATAAAGTATTTATATCTATTATTACTCATATAAAAATGGGATAGCGCAATAACTTTATATTGATTGTCTTTCTTTTAGTATTGCCTAAGATTATTGATGATTTCAGGGGTATATGCAGATATAGATTTCTTTATAATTCAGAAAAGTACGAGTGTACGAGTTCCCAAACTACACCTTTACACTCCCAAAATATTTAGGTCCTAAGCCCGCCTGATTAAACATGTGAGCCCCTGACCTTAGGTAACTACCAACCCAAGAAGTTCGGCAACATTGCAGTTCGGTCTGAATAATCTAGGCTGAAATGTTGACATTGCCTTTGTAATGTTCGGGCCTATCTCCCTCTCTCTCTCTCTCTCCCACCAACTCTACCCCTCTCTGTCACACAATCTACTGACTGACTGTTTGTCTGTCATGTCGGTTGCTTTAAGCCATGTTAATGACATGTAAGTTGCGACTCAATTGCGGATTTGCGAGCTTCCCGAAAACGAAATGGAATGACATTTTGATTGTCAAGCCAAAGCCGAAAAAGATGAGAGGAAAAAGGGAATCACGAAACTTATAAATGCACTTTAATGTACGTGTTTAAGTTTATTGGAAGGATGCGCTGCCTTCTTTTCTCGGGACATTTGTGCGCTCAAAAGTAAACAAATTACGTATACGTGCACACTCAAGATAATTGAAATTAGCGACTGTGACAGCATGATTACCTTCCCCAACATCTCCAGGGAACCGCCCAGGCCACAAATCTCGTGGACAAACACTCGAGGTGAGAGGGCGAGATACAGATTCACAGATACACGGATATACGGCCAAAGATACATTTACACACGCATCTCGTATCTCGTATCCGAAGACTCCAAAACGCCCACTCGCAGAGCCAAACCCCAATCGAGTGGGTTTTTTGGACAGGCCACGAGTGTGGATGCTTCTGCCTTCCCGTTTCCCATGCTCTACACTTGAAAAAAATATGACATCAATTTATAAAGTCTTATAAAATTAGTTGGTCTTTTGACAATAAAAAATTATTGGATTTTCAAGGGAATTATAACCCACAAAAAAGTTCAAATGTAACATACAATTTAATTTTAAAAGACATCCAAGCCTTTAATGTAGCTTTCGAAAAAAAAAGTTTTGGAACCCTATCAGTAATCGCATTAAGTAATATATTTTAAATAAATTATATTAATTTTTTTCGATTGATTTTTGTTCAGTGTATATATATTGAGTCTCCCCGAAAACTAAAAAGTATTAAGTATTAACTAATATATTTCAAATAAATGAAAGTACTCTTACTCAGATACTTTGTATTATTTCTTTTATTTTTTGTTGATTGATTTTTGCTCAGTGTATCAATATTGAGTCTCCCCGAAAACTGAAAAACCCAACCCAGAACGCATTGAGATTGTGTCTGAGGTTTTTGTACAATTGCTGGATATATGATAATGAGCAGGAAATGAGTTGAGTGTTAAATTTATGGGCAGGAGTGCTGTTCTATGATTTCCACAATGACTTATGATTGTAATTAAAAAAATTTCCGACTTTTCGTATATAAAATATTACGCCTTTCAAAGGTGTTGGGTTGAAAGTGTAAATCCCTCCCCTTCACACATCATCCATCACACACACACTCTAATCCCGACGGTCCTAAAAATATGCACAGATGGCACTCAAAATGGAAAAGCCACAGCTCTGCCATAAAATTGTAATCCCATTAGCATAAACTAAATACAACAAATGAAATTAAAAGTCAATAAAAGTTTAACTAACTCGAACAATAAAAATCAATGACTACTTTCCTATGGTCATAAAATAAATCATCTAACAAAAAACAAAAATATTTAAAATGGCAACAATTGGATGCGTTACAAGGATATGGCCAGCATAATTGCACACAAATAGCTGTTTGTTTTTGTTTTTAATTGCAAAATTAAACCAATGACGATTAATTTGACTCTGGAATTTACCAGTAAGTTACAATAAAGAAAGATAAACATAGAACTCAGTTGGCAAAAAAATGTTTTAGAAATTAAAAAGTTATAAATTCGAATATACTATTCACTAAAGTATAATTACATAAAAACAATCAAACATACATCGTTTATTAATTAGAAATTTAATAATATTTTTGTGAACCAAAATATATATTTATTTTTTATTTTACAAAAAGATAACATTGTGCTAATACCAATATCAAAACATTGATTGTTTCTACCAACTTCAAACGTAACGACCTCATTTACCCTTTCATGCGAAATTAGAGCACATTTATTTGCAAATGTTTGGTTTAATTTGCATTTGCCTCAATTTTCATTTAGATACCGAATTGGAAATGCACGCGATGATAACTGCTTATTAACATTTTGTTGCTTTTATGGCTTTTAATTAATATTTTCAGTAGTTCGCCGCCGAAAAAGACCACCAAGC